GAGAAGGAAGAGAAGGAAGAGAAGGAAGAGAAGGAAGAGAAGGAAGAGAAGGAAGAGACCGAAAACGACAAACATCACCAGATAGAATAAAATAAATAAGACAACAAATTACCAACCCATCACGTTCACTCCTACCATATATTCTAAGAACAACACTCCATTTTATTGTCCTTCTTCGTTGAAGAACAAGACATACACACGAGGAGTCTCAAAGATATCGGACGGATCAGAACGTGTCGCGATGTAGATCATTAGAAAAGTAAGAATAGCATGCTAGTAAGCTCAAAAGTAGAGCGGTAGAGTAGCCCATAGTCTATAGGCCGATAGTTCATTCAATGGAAGGTAGAACTACGGAGAGTAGAATTGGAAAGGAGGATTAGATGTATATACATATACATATACATATACATACATATACATAGTAGATACGATGTGGAGGTGTTTAATATATATATAGCGAGTGTTAACGCGCACAAGCTACACACTAGCGTCCTAGATTCAATGCCAATTTCACAGACAATGCAGAGCGAGCACAAGCACTATCACGTCTCTATCCAGAAGCGACATAATATATATTCACATCCTTCATCCTCTCTTTTTGTGTATCCAGCCGTCCAGCCAACCAGCCAAATAGCCGAGTCCAGCCAGCTAGCCAGTTAGCCAGCCACCCAGCCAGCCACCAACACATGGGATGATGGATGGATATCGTAAACGTACAGAAAAAAGTAAAGAACCAAAGAAACAAAAACAAAGACAAAGAAAAGGGGCCAGGAAAAGCGCCGAGTCCACGTCTAGTCGTACAAATAAAGGAAAATGCCGCCCGCTGCCGTCTCTGTGTCCATTCGTACATGCGCCTCCAGTCCCGTGCCGTGCCGCGTTTCGTATATGCTCGCTTAAATGTATGTATGTATGTGTGTTTGTAGGAGACAATTCTTGCTTTCCTGATGCGTTCCACCACGTCCCTCGAGACCGCAGATCGTGTATCAAAGCTCTGCTCCAACAACGACGACCCAAGAAGGCTCCCAAAATCAGATCTTACAAAGCAACGCTGTCGACACTCCCATTGCCAATCGCGTTCCCACTGACATCGTGACTATCGTGACTATCGCGCGCATCATGCCCATTCGCCTGCCCATTGCTGCGTCGACCAATCATATTCGCGGCCTGAGACATGCCGAGCTTGATAAAGTTGCGCTTATCCTTGGGCGATTGCGGCGGCGTTATGGCCGGGCTCGAGATGCGGACGTGGTTCACGGCGGGCGACGGTGGAGGGAGTGAGGAATTGGCTCGAGAACGGTCTTGGCGTGAGTTCCTTGATGATGGACGGGATGGGGTCGGGTGTGAGTTGAGGCCGTTCTGGTAGTGGTGTTGCTGCTGCCGCTGCTGGTACGAACCTGGTCCTGGACCCCCGGATATGCTATTCATAATGACGCGTGGCTGTTTGCGCGCAACGTTCCGGACTTGCGGGCCCGGCGCGCTGTCATACTCGTCGTCTTCCAGGAACTTGCCATGCGGGCCCTCGTCATCGGTGCTGTGGCGGCCGCTTGTCGGCACGCTGCGCATGACGATCGAATCTGTCTCCGGCACGTTCCGTGTGCTCGGGCGCGCTGTGGTTTCCACGTCCTCGTGGTGATAGGACTGGGAGGAGAATTGCTCGACGGGCGGGGCGACGCGGAACTTTCTGCGCTGGACGTATTGCTCGGTTGCTTCGTCGACAAGCAGCACCATCCACACGCCTACTTTGCCGTTCGCGTCGAGCAAGGGCGTCGCGTGGATCCAGCGCGTGCGGCCCTCTTCGTCTGAGTTTCGTGGGTTGGTTAGCCATTTCACTTTCGCGGTTACGCCTTGGCCCTCGGATAGGGCTGCGGTGAGACCGGCGCGCACGCGGGCGCTGCCGCCTATCCGATCGACGAATGGGGATTGTAGAATGCCGGGGATGCGTAGAGAAGGCGAGGTGAAGAGGATGCGGAGTGAGGGAGCAGGACGGAGGAGAAGGTAGTGCTGGTATACGCCTTGGAGACGACCATTGATAGTTTTGGGAATAGACTCCGCCTTCGTCCTTTCGTCGGCGGAGTCGGCAGAGTCGCGGAGATGCATGCGAGGGCGTCTATCGCGACCGATGCGATGGCGAGTCTCATTCTCTGATTCATACTCGTCATCACGGTGCATTCGACCGCCGTGCTTGCGGACACAATCGAGCTCTGCATAGTTGAGCATTTCAGCCAGCTCCTGGAACTCGTCTTTCGTCGGCTCTGGATCCTGGGGTGGAGCGTCTTTGTCTTTCGTGGCGACAATCTTCTGGAGCGCTTCGAGGTCGACACATTCCTTGACTAGGCCACTGATGTCGATTTGGGCGCCTATGAAATACCGGAGAGTACCACGACTATCGTACAGTGGCGCCATCATGAGCATGTTCATGAACGGAGAGCCATCCCGGCGGTAATTTAGGAAAACCTCGCTGATTTCCTGTCCGGTCTCAACAGCGGTGCGAACTCGACGAATACTGTCGCGGTTGGTGCAAGGACCTTGCAAGAAGCGGCAGTTGCGACCAATTGCATAATTTACCCCATACTGCGTGGTGCGATGGAATTCTAGGCATGTTAGCATGTGTCTGAGCATCTTATCTCATGCCGGATCGAGTACGTACCCTCAGAAGCAAAGATGATGGGATTGTCAGGGCGCGAGACGTCAGTGAAGCAGAACACTTCCGCCAGACCCTCGGCCTCTTGTGAGCCTTTTGGTAGATTACCAGTAACTCTCTGGGTGATGGCTCGGCTCGCGATCTTGATATATACATGAGTAATGAAAGCAGGCAAGTCTTCACAGACTAGTACGTCAAAAGCAGCTGATGCCTTCTCCTCCAACACACCATTCATCGTTGGACGGGCGGCATGCTCGGTAAAGGCAAGATTCTCTATGGGATCAAGAGCTTCTGCAACAGCATTGGCATAATTGATGGCGCGCAGTGCCTTGAGGGCATCCAGATAATATATCAGCAACGGGATCGACTTTGGACGTGAGGAGGTGAGAAAAGCCGTGAACCGGTGAAGTTGATGGGGATCCTGGAAGATGGCTTGCAGATGCTTTCTCGAGAACATCAACTCGGATCGTTCCTCGAGCGAGTACGACTTGCTGCTTCTCAAGTTCGCATCAGGAGACAGCAGGTCGAACGAATCTGGGTTGTCCTCGGTGAGAGGGTGAAGCTTCTCATGAGCTTCAGAGGGCCCCCTGTCATAGAGGGCACCAGGCTCGACTGAGGAAGGTGGTGAGTCGTACGAAGCCATAGAAGCAGCAGAGCTCGCCACGGCACGATCTTCTGTAGAACCTCCCACGGATGGACTCAGATCCCGTCGCTGGCGCGATGGAGATGCGATGCGGCGGTGAGGCCTGTACGGCCTGGAGCTATGTTGTTGATCGTCAGCCATTGCGAAAAGTGTGAAGATTGTCAAAAAGGAATGAAAGTTACCTGGTCCTAGAGGGTATATGAATACCACGAGGAGAAAGGTCCACACCGGAAGTATTTACGTCACGGCCACGGCCAATGGGTGATTTTCTCTCAACCATAGTTGGGAGCATGGTCTGTGAGGAGGGTTAGTGAGAGCTAAAGTCAAACCGCCGACGTTATTGGTATAATGATGCAGAAGTCCAGGAACGGTACAAGTTATTGGTAGAAGCGGATACGATGGCTCAACATGTGATTACTACACAACAGCGCATCGCGATTGATGGGGGGATCGCCAGTGTCAGTAGCTGTCAAATTGACGCCTAGGGGTAGAGCCCAAATAACTGTGGTGAGAGAAGATGGAGATGGCGATGCTAGAGCGAGAGCTAGAGTAGGATGAAGCCCCAGTGGGTCACAATACCAGACTAAGCCTAGTGTTACAGACGGCAAGGCAGTACTGTGGAGGCAGGTGGAGGCGCTGCAGTAGTTGAACTGCATGGACTGGTAGGGCGTTGAAGTGCAGGCGAAGGGGGATAGAGGGTGGAAGCCAAGGATAGGGAGGTGCATTCAGGATTACCACAAGGAGAATAGAGCGGGGGTCGGGCTTTAGTTTTAACGTACCGTGGAACTATCAAGTCTCGGCTGGTCTGGGTGGAGTAATGATAATTGTTGTTGTGTGGTGCGCAGGCTCAGCGTCGACTTGAAATGCGGGCTCTCATCACAGCGTATGCCTGGTCTAGACTGTGAAGCCAAGGCCTGGCTAACAGACCGGGACCTGGATAGACTGTTTGTGATGATGCTTGAAGACGGGCGAAATGAGCTGGTCAAAGACTCGGTGTCGTCTGTGAATCGGGGCCGCCAAGAGGGATGAATTTGCGAGCGACGACGAGGCTGGTGCTGGTATAGAGCAGAAGAGCCCGGACAGTCGGGAATGATATCATTCGGCCGTGGGCGAAGATAATGCTCAGCAGGCGCAGTGCGAGAGGCAATAAGCTTTGCAATGCGACGACTTAGTAGATCTTGCTCGCCGGCTGCCCTGCTTTCGGAGAAAATGGCGTCGGTGGTGAAGGGATCGCCATGATAGTCATGGTCCCCGTCTACATCCGCGTCCAAGTCCACATCCATCGAAGGCGGCGAACAAAAAAGGGAGAAGCTGACGTCGGAGTGGCAGAAAGCCAAAAAGCCAAAAGGCCAGAAGGCTGGCGGTTCGAATGAAGCTCACGATAGGACGGAGAAGGACGGTGGCGGGCCTCTACCGGATGAGCCGTCGTCGGCAGTCAGCAATCGGCATTCAGCATCCAGCAACAGCAATCAATTAGCATTTGGCATCCAGCTTTCAGCATCCAGCGTTCGGCGCACGGGAAGGCGACGCTATCGACAGAGGTCCCCGAGAAGGATGTGAAGGGAGAGAAGTGCTGCTGCGGCCATCACGAAGTCTAATTACTGATGGAAGTGTGAATCGGACCGGGAATGGACGCAGGTACCGTCTGCTTTTCCCTTTCTTCCACCCACCGCTGCCCACGAGCCACAATCTACACATAATAATAATATGTTACGAGAGACACGGCCAGAGCAGGGACAGGGACAGGGACGGGGACAGGGGCAACGGTGGTTTGACGCCGTGATGTTTTATTACTATGGATTGTGATTGAGCGCCCCAGGCGACGACGAGCCATGGCAGCAAAGAAGCCACCGGGGCAGGGAGTTCTCACTAATAGTCAACTAACTATCAGGCACTTCGGGGGCGGCGGGCAGTCAGGGCAGCCAACAGCCTGAGTGTAATAGTAGGGGCCTATTCTTCCTCCCGGTGGGCCAGATCCACTCTTTAGTCCAGCTATCATTCCCTCTACCGTGTCATTGGGTTCTTTGCTTCACGAGTCAGTACCACTGTATGTCCTAATTAAGCCACAGTGACTACAGTACCTGTATCACGGCAGACGGCGCTGGCGCTGGCGCTGTCATCTGTCAAAAGCTAATTGCGAGTACAGTACGATGTCGATGTCGATGACGACGAGCGATAGGAGTAGTAGCTAGTCGACCTCTTCTCCACGAGGGACGAGTCCATGTTTCAGACGCAGGTAATGTCGGCATCGATATGGTGGTGCCGTTGATCATCAACAACAGCCCCGACTCCCTCTGCTCTGCAAGACTCGTCTGTGCCGTGTTGCAGGGAACAAGCCTCAAATCGTCGTGAATCCTCAGCAAGGGCGCTGCAGGAGTGCGCACCACCTCTGTATTCTTACGAGTTACGAGTTACGAGCTCGAAATTATGACAGTAGACTTCAGTCGTCGATGAATTGGGAAAGCCGTGAAGTCGTGACTCTCGTGTGCGTATCAGTGTCTGTGCCTGCATACAAGACTGGTTTCATCTCGAATGTAGCAGCTGATGTCTCGCCATCATTGTTGCCGACGACCACTTGCGACTTGCTTCTTTGCCTGTAGTCTATCATGTCTGACACTCAACATCGTCGTGTCTTTGACTAGGCGAGTCGAGCTCGAGAGGCTGATATCTAACTTCAAATCGACAGCCAAGCAGCCCAACGTATAAGCTCAGCGTCCAGGTCGCTTTGGCTATTGCTAGCCATTACATCCGTCTCCTCTGACAGGTGGAGAGAGGAGAAATAATTCATTTAATTATCAGTCCGACCAACCACAATCTGTATCCCGCTGGCGATTTGTTGGCCCCCAACCGGAATTATCCCTGTCTGTTTGGCGCTATAGCGGACCGGCATATCTCTATACTGTACTGTATGTATATTACTACATCACGACACTTTTCGACTTCGTAGGACAAATATGTGACTCGGAGAAGCTTTCAGGCACTGTCGCGCGCATATGGAGCTGCGTTCGCTTCGACTGACTATCTCGAGAATTTGGCGCACATCGTTTTCGTGTTTGTTGTCTCGTCTATGATGCCTCTATTTTACTCATCTGCGTCGCGCTACACTCTTTCAATGCGCTTGTCCATACTGGGCCCCACAACCACATCCCGCATCCCTTCTCCGCGTTAGGGTTCCATTCATTCACTGCTGCAACTCTGCCGTCGATTTCTCGATTCGCCCGGATTGCCATCTTCACGTACCACTCACCAAATATGGCTGACGGTAAACGTCTCATCCGAGAGTGGCGCGGGGAACTCAACAAATTCTCCACCATTGGCTGTCCCCTCTCAATTTGCTGTGCTCTAATTGTCTGAAAGATTCACGCAAGCAGTTGCTCTCGCTCTTCCTCCACCATAGGACTGGCACCATGATACAACACAAGGTGCTGGACAAGAAATACCAAGTCAAACACGATTGTGATGTTGGCCAGTAGAAATTTGGCCGGATTCCCGGTGATGCCACTCCAATCCGACTCCAGAGAGGCATCGATCAGCAGTTGTCCGATTGAGAGAACACCACCAATAAAGTCCGCCCATATTCCGGCCATGTGGAAGCCCACGGTAGACTTGCGACGGAAATTCATATAGCACTGCGGCTTCGTGACGCTTAGCCATGTCTGGAATCTTGCATGCATTCAACACTTACCACGTATTTGACCACTGTCGCAATCAGTTTCACATACGATATCGCATACATCTGGTGCGCCGTCAGCAACATGCACTATGTTTGGCTGCGCATCTACTATACTAACCACCTCAATCCACGCCCAGCCGCTCGGGTCTTCGCCGAAGTCCTTGCCCTTGATCAACACAATTGCGATGACTATGCCCACGCCAGCAAGGCATCCGATCACGATGCCCACTGCCACACGACTCGCCTTTTGCCGGTCACTCTCCTTGAATCCCCACAGCCGTGGAAAAAACTGACTGTATGCAACCAAGCACATTATCGCCCCATGCAGCGCGAAGAGAAAATCGTTGAATCGCACTGTCGGTATCGGCTCCAGCGGGTTCCTGTATGCATACTGCTGTCGAATCGTGGGATTGTACAGAAACGACGCTGTGGATATCGTGTAAGACGTAAATCCTAGTATATTGAGCGTGGGATAGTCTATGGCGAACCCGCTCGTCGTCTTGCGTTGCCAGTTGAGTATTGGTTGAGGATAGAAGCTGAAGCTCCACGACACAAAGTAGATCCATCCCAGGACACGCGACACTGCTTGTGCAAACAGTCTTAATTCCGAGTCTGACATCGTGACCTTGTGGACTTGTGTCGTGCGCCTGGTATATCAAGATGACAGGGCGATAGAACCTTTATCGGACCTCAACTACGCAGTCCGACAGAGAGGGAAGCCGGTCGGAGAGCGCAACGGATTGTAAATATATGCAAGATGTAGAGCTGGTCACATTCGAACTGCATTGTGCACTCATGGAAGAGGTTGACATATTGAGACCATCATCACATGTCGTTGTACTTGTTGCGCAGGACGGTCGTGTGAGAAATGTCTCGCAACGTTGCTGACGACATGGCGCTCGTTGCCTCAGGCATCAATATCCCTGCAGCCTTTGTTCTGAACTTGGTATAGTGCAAATCGGAGGCGGCCAGGTGGCCTGTGCGCACATATGGCAGCAACCGCAAAGGGAGACGTCAAGTTTGAGAGAGCGCGACGTGCGAAAGAATTCATACGCGTTGCATGTCGAAGCAAAAGTCTTTCATTACTTCTTCTCCCGACCGCATACCGATGCTAGAACACCTTTACATACGCTTGACGCGCCCGTCCGCTCTTTAGCCACGGCTGAGAGCCTTCAGCTTCGCGTCCCCTACCTAGATCCCATCTGACACATCCTCTGCGCAATCGCAAGCTGCGCATCGTATTCGACGCCGTTGTCAGACGGATCAATTATGGCGACGTCTCCAGACACGCCTCGAAGACGCGTTCGCAACCCTACACGGCTCCGCGGTGGTGAAGACACAGCTCCGCCCAATAAAAAACTCAAGTATGTTCCCGGGGGACCAGGTGGCGGCGGCCGGTATCTTGATCCAGATACCGGAAACGAGACACCTGTTGGAGGCACTGGTCCTGGTGGATACAATTACATCGGCTCACGAGGGAGGATTGGCAGGTCAAACACTGAAAAGGCTGGCGTCATTCTTACTTCAGACATACCCACAGCCAGTGCTGTTCGCCCCCGTCCACGCCGCGAAAGAACCCAACGCGACCGAGATCGAGACCGAGCGCGAAGAGAAAGAGAGAGGCAAGTGAGGTTAGCTCAACAACAAGAACAACTGGCTCATGGGCCTCGGTCAAGCTCGGCGTCTGCTGCCGCTGCTGCCGTGGCTCAGAACGACGGATACAAACCGCGCGAGGAGCGCGGATGGGAAGAGTTTCATCCTGATCTGGACCTCGATGTTGTGTTCCCCGTGTACACTGCTGAAGAGGTCGACGGACTGATCACGCCCATCTCGAAACCAGGTACTCCGATTAAGGCTCCGAACTTTGGTCACAACAGCCTCAACGAGGATGGAGCAAATGGCGCAGTCGACGTTGCCTTGATGAGCCTGTCGAAATCGCCCACTCTACATCAGGAAGCTCTTCACAACGATGCCGACGCCCAGTACCAAGCAGGCAAAAACGGTACGCCTGGAACACCCCACAAGAGGCGTCCGGGAAGGCCTGCGCGACGAGCCGACTATATGCTCACAGGTCTTGGCTCTCCGCCTGCTCCACGAATAATTCCTATACCTGCGCAGAACCCCAAAGAGCGCTTGAACCTCCCGAAGCCTGTATATCGCCAGGTCGAAACGTTCGCTACCTACGAGCAGGATCCGGCGGCACAAGTCAACTATGTCGACAAGTCTATGGCACATGTCGGCTATCAAGAGAGTGAGATATTTGCGCGACCAGAACGAACATTCATACGCGTGTCAGAAGGTTCAATCGAAGACGACCTGGATCTCGCGGTTACAACAAAGTCCGATATTGACGGTCCGACTGCACAAGTTGGGCGGGTCGAATACGATATGGATGAGCAGGACGAAAGATGGCTTGAAGCGCACAATATGACGCGAAGAAAAGAAGAAGCCGAAAACATCAAGCCTTGGCTCTTCGAAATAACGATGACGCAAATAGAAAAGGAATGGCATTCGCTGGAGAAGCGTAAGTCAAACAGCGACCCGACTACGTGAAGTATGTCTAAACGAGAACAGGAATACCAAAACCAAACCCAAAGCCTCCGCAAACCCATCGTCCACGCTCTAGTTCTGCAGCCGCAGTCAATGGCGAGATAGCAGGCCAGGGCGAGGAACAAGACTCCAAATGTGCCATCTGTGACGACGGCGACTGCGAAAACACCAACGCAATCGTCTTCTGCGATGGTTGTGACCTCGCCGTTCACCAAGAATGTTACGGCGTCCCATTCATACCGGAAGGACAGTGGCTCTGCCGCAAGTGCCAACTAATCGGACGTGCAACTCCTGTAAGAACCTTATTTATGTACACGTTTCTACCGGTGGTGGGGCTAACAGACACTAGACCTGCATCTTCTGCCCCAATGTCGACGGCGCGTTTAAACAAACCAATAACATGAGATGGTCACATCTTCTCTGTGCGATTTGGATACCAGAAGTCTCACTGGGTAACACGACATTCATGGAGCCAGTCATGGATGTTGAGAAGGTACAGAAACAACGTTGGAAGCTTGTGAGTCTTGTCCATGTCTCCTCACTGGTGCCGGTAAACTGATGACGTGGTAGCAATGTTATATCTGTCAACAGAAGATGGGAGCATGTATTCAGTGTGGCAACAAGAATTGTTACGCAGCCTTTCATGTTACCTGCGCCAGACGCGCGCGACTGTACTTGAAGATGAAGTCAGCCCATAGCACAGGCATACAGGATGCGAGTGTGTTGAAGGCGTTCTGTCACAGACACGTGACGTCAGAGTGGAGACGAGACAATGATGTTGAATGGGCCTACGAGGAAGCAGTGGCTTTCTATCGCCGGGAGATGAGAGGTCGAAGATGGGCAGACAGTCAGGCAGCCGCACTGGCACAGGGTCCCTCACGAACTCAGCAGCATAATGATGGCGCCGACGAGCCTGAGACAGGACAGAACAAGAAGCGAGGAGTACCGCAGAAGCAAGTGTGGCGGCTGCCGTCAGGGGCGCCAGTCGTACCCCAAGTGGTCTTCAATAACGTGGAGACTGCGCTTCAACGCTTCAATCCACGCAGGCGAAAGGAGTTTGTCGCCGAAGCCTGCAAGTACTGGACCTTGAAACGTGAGGCTCGACGTGGCGCCTCTCTTCTGAAACGACTTCAGCTGCAGATGGAGCAGTTCTCTTCGATGGAAATCACACGGCGAAATTTTGCAGGCATGGGCGCAGCCGGTGGACCTCGCCTGCAACGCCGAATCGAGTTTGCTGAAGCTCTCGAGAAAGACATGGCGCATCTGGTACCGATGGTGAAGGCAGTGAAGGAGCGCGAGGACAAGAACCTGTTCGATGCGAGACTGCAACTGGAACTGGTAGATCTAATAACCTTCCCCATCCAGCCTTTACTCGAGCCTATCTTGGCGAAAGCCCAGCAAATGGACGGTAAAGACATGTTTGCTGACGGCCTGAACCAGATCCGGGAGAATATGGACCGCCGTCACTACGTGACAGTAGCCGACTTCACTCCCGATCTGGCAAACGTCTTCCGCACCGCACTCAATCCCGGCGCTGATGGGCCCTTGACGTTGGAGGAAAAGCAGAGAAAGGCCGTGGCCAAGCGCATTATCAAGGCTATCCAGGGGCCGCTGGACGATGTTACGCGGAAAGAATCAGACATTGTGCGGAACCGAAAAGACTTTCCAGACCTTGCGGCGTTGATTGCTATGACTCGACCGCCGGAAGTGCAACAAGCCGCTCGTGAAGTGGCGGTCGAGGTCAATAATGATGCTGCAGACATGGACATTGATAGTGAGGGTGAAGAGATGGAAGTCGACCAAATAATCAACGAGGCAGCACATGAACCTAAGGGTGTGCGTGGATCCGAACATGGTATTCTCGCCAACGGGATCTCTAAAAACCACGCGAATGGTCATATGCACGACCCTGACGCTGAGCACGACGAGACGACCGACGAAGCGGTAATCCGTCTCCAACTTGGCGAGACCGAGGAGACCATCCCGACCCCCAACAACAATATCGCCGCCGAACAGCACCTCGACACCATCATGGCCGGCGGCGATCCTGCCGCATCGACTGGCTCAGACGGCTCTGTACCCTCCCTATCCGCCTCAGGCTCAACACACCCCTCAACATCCACCGGTCCTCCTACTCACGCCCATGGGTCCTCACACAACAAAACAGACGCAGAACCAGACGACCTCAGAATCCTCACCCACGGCGGCATACCCTGGTACGCAGCACCCTTCTCACCATCCGGCACCACCCTCTACATGCCCGAAGACGAACCCCCGAGCCCATCAACCCACGCCGCAGACGCCTCCTCCCTGGCCGTTCCGCACGCGCAACCCAAGCGCGAGGCAAGCGTGCTGAGCTCTGTCCTCAGCGATCTGAGCGAGCTCGGCGAAGACGAGATCAAGAACCTGGGCCCCGACGGCGACGACTCTGATGGTGGTGATGGCGATGATGGGGATGAGGACGCAGACGAAGAAGTGGATGAAGATGCGGCGGCGTTGGCGGCCAAGGAAGCGGCTAAGAAGAGAGCGAGGACGAGGCGTCGCAGGCGTGGGTATCGATGAGGATGAGTATAGTATGGGGAGGTGTATCGCCGGCGAGAGGTGGTGTGTGTACTGCTTGGGCCTGGCGCGTGTATTGTATTTGTACCATTTTCAGGGGATTTTCGGATTTTTGTGCGGTTTAGGCGGTGGGCGTTTTGTGTGCTGGGATGGCATGGGAGTGTGTGATGGGATGGGATGGTGTTTTGGGCGCCTTGCTTTCTTTTTCATTCATTCATCTGGCATTCTAGCTTTCTAGCTGTTAGCATGTACAATGTAGACTTGTACTTTTGTACTGCGCACGCGTGCGTTGTGGTGTGCTGTGATGTAGTGATGTGATGTAAGCTGCTACGACTGTCGCTGTATTGAGTGCCATGACAATAATGATGAATACGGTGATGGTAAGGATATATGATGTGACGTGGTGTAGGTACTAAGCTGCTACGACTGTCGCTGTATTGAATCGCATAACTACAACAACTACGACATCAACACCATCAACACCATCAACACCATCAACACCATCAACACCATCAACACCATCAACACCATCAACACCATCAACACCATCAACACCATCACCACCACCAACACCATCACCACCATCACCACCATCACCACCATCACCACCATCACCACCACCAATAAAACCCACACATACCACCCACCACCCTCCCTCCCTCCCCTCGCTCTCATTACTATCCATCATCTTTATATCCCAATACCAAGTCACCTCCATTCATCCTAATCCGCTTGTCCTCTCGGGAAGTTATATCAAGTATGACGACGAGGTAGGATCTAGATGGCTTAAATCTATTATGTGTCTGTCTTCTACTGTACCTAATTAGTCTTCGTACATGGCATATCCCACCTATACTATCTATCGGATTATGTTCTATCGGACTACTATCTATCGGATTAGTATGTACATAGCATGCTTTTGATATTCAATAGTACGTGGATATATCGAGATATGATATGAGAGGTACGACTTGGAAGTATGAGAGTATAGAGGGAGAGAGAGGGAAGGGATCGATGATTTGTACGGCGTGTTATATACAGCGTGCTACATACGACGCGCTACATACGACGTGTTATATACGACGTGCTACATACAGCATATCATATACCAAACCATCTCCATGCGCTCTATCAGTCTACTATACAATACATCGTGGCACGATCGGATCGGGTTGGATTCTATTGCTTCGTAGCCGGATCAGATCTGATAAAATCAAGTCAAGGACTAGGAGCGCGTAAGCTGTGTTGTTGGCGATGAGGGGATGGTGTGGTTGGTATAGGATGCATTCATCGCGCAGCCAGACGAGAGCAGGACCAGTACTAGTACCAGTACCAGCTCCCTCTTGACCTCTTACCTTCCCTCCCTCTCATTGTCTCACCATCTCACCCTCTCACCCTCCCACGCACAACACGCACAACAAGTACTAACAAGCACACAACATCCACCATCCACCACCTAACCCACAACCCACACAACAAGGCCAACCAACCCACACAAAAACGGAAAAATTTCCCCCAATCTCAATCCATTTTCCCCATATAATCACAAGTCTTCACCATGCAAATAATACTGCTCATGCTCATGCTCATGAAAATATAATGCCATGGATGCAATGCTAAAATACACCGAGACAACCACCCGGTATCCATTCGTATCTAGCTAGCTATCTAGCTACTAATTAGCCAGCATGCATAGCTGACACAAGGCGTGATCGTGATCATGATCGTGATTCGTCATATCGCATAACCTCGTCTCTCGTCTCCCATCCCTCATCCCCCTGTCCGTCAGTCTCATCCATCCGTCCGCGGACAGACAGACAGACAGAGACATATATACATATATAAAACCATGCATGCAGAACCCCACCGACACAACCAACAACCAAGACTTTTCCACCAACGCCTTCAACACCTGCTAACGCCCACCTACACGGCCGTAAAAAAAAACATAAAATCCATCAAAAAAAAGCAAGACTATCAAACAGCCCCCGACCTCGACAAAGAAGCGGACCCACGCCCTTGCAACACGACAAGCCGCTTGAGGCCCATAAACGGCGTGTTAATCGGGCTCTTCCCCGTGAAGATGAAGGTGTCGTAGAGGAAGCCGCCGAAGAGGGTGCCGAAAAAGGGCGCGACCATGGGGATCCAGAAGTAGTAGTTGCCGGCGCTCCAGACTTCGCTGCCGTAGCCGACGGCGTAGGAGGCGAGGCGGGGGCCGAAGTCGCGGGCTAGGTTGATTGCGTACTGTGTGTGTTTTTGGTTAGCTTGGGGTTGGGTGGGAAGGGTGGTTTGACAGTGAGAATGCAAGGAGAAGACACTTACGCCAGTTTCCCAGCCAAAGCAGGCGCCGATGCCGAAGATGAGGAAGAAGAGACAGAGCGGGGTGAGGTTGTTTGCGCCGACGTTTTTGTTGTCGGCAAAGGCGTAGATGCAGAACATGAGGATTGTGCTGGCGACGAATTCGGAGAAGAACATGCCAGTTCGCGTCAGGAAGGCGGCGGGATATGTGCAGAAGATGCCTGCGGTTGCGTTCGTTGCGGGGGGTACCGTTCGCATGCGTCCGCCTTCGAAAGTGTCCTACATCTGGTTAGTTATTATGCTGGCAGGTTGGACCAAAACGAAAAATCATTCCCCCGGGAAGGATGGATTCCAAACGTACGATGGCCGAGTAGTAGTTGTAGTAGACTACCAGCGAAGCACAAAAGGCGCCCATGGTCTGCGCTACGATGTAAACGGGGAACTTTCTCCAGGGGAAGCCACGGTATACGCAATTCGACAGCGTCACGGCGGGATTGAGATGGCCTCCAGACTTCCCGGCAACATACACGCCTATCATGACACCCAGGCCCCAGCCCCAGGATATGGATTGATAGTCGCCTTTTTCGCCGTTGCTAAGGACGACCTGGGCCACGACGCCGTCACCGAAGAGGATCATTATGAAGACGCCAAAGAACTCGGAGAAGGCGTCCTGGCATTGGTACCTGATACGGCTCCAGAGCAGGTGGGGATTGGAGTCCTTTTCCTCTTCCTGGGGGCCTTCATGGTCTATTGTCACTCCGTGCTCGGCCAGTGTGGCTCGAGTCTGTAAGGTGGGCATGGGCTCTATAACGGCATCGTTGGCCTTGTTCGACACATACTCGCCCTTGTGGGATCCGAACGAGTGGATGTCGTCACTTGAGGTGTCTCCAACGTACTCCAGGTGTCGTGTAGTAGTGGCCATAGCGGCAATAATCCTCCTCCTCGGGATCCGGAATGTGGACTTTAAGAAAGGAAGACAACAGCAGTCAAGACTTTAGGAAAACACCTAGCAGGATGGGCTATGGGATCTGGCAACGAGTATCATTCAGGACTCCAAGTGCTACAACATGGGACTATACAACCCAAGTATAAGAAGATCTTATGGTAGATGCGAGCGGCCCCGCTCAACAGTAGCAGCCGGATGAGATCGGTGGCTCCCGAGGAATGTTAGCTAATAGTGCTAGTGATATGCTCTTCCGCATACGGTAACGGCATGGTGATAGTCGCATGGCCTCCTCCCTTCCCGCCTATTCCTTCTTACGTTACGTATAGCACAAACATGCTCATGGTGGCGAGGGTCCAATTGCGATGCGAAGTCCTTCACACCCTTGCCGTCTGTACTCGGGCATTCCGTGAGAATTTTTCTGCTATAGGCCAGCCACACGGCCGGTGTCGCATGCTAGAAACCCTTACAAGGCTCTAGCGGTGCTTGGAACATGTCAAACGTCAGTCTAGGGTGTTGACGAGGTAGAAATCGCCGGTATTGACTCTAACTGCGCCTGCTTGGCAACGGTATCACCTTCCCATGGCCACATACCCCAGAGTTTGGACGACTGTGGGGCGTGTAGATGTCTGCAGGTCTTCCTGTCCTTCACACAAAACCTCCCCGCGAGAAGACTAGGCCGAGGTTGAGAGTGAAGGCGAGTAAGCGGACATTCGATACTTGCGTCTGAAGAACTTGGAGCGCCGTTACACACAACCATGCACATATACACACACACACACAGTGTCGTATCTTCACCAGCAACCAGCCATCTCGTCCGTGGCTCCGCGAACTAGCAAATGGCGCATCCTGTCAGTCATCACTACTGTCGCACACACGCCAGCGCTAGAATGTTCGCCTCCTCTGGACGAAGCCACGGGGACGGGACTGCAGCGCCGCCGTCAAGCCTGAGGTGAACGAACCTCTGAGGCAGCACCCTTGTGATCGGGACAAAGGCCGACGCACATAGCCCACGGCCGGCATGTAACTGTGCGCGGAGCAAGTGTCAGAATCTGGGGCCCATGGTGGACGGGACGCTATCCAGAGTGTTGGCACCAAGGCCAACTAACGGCCTGTCCAACTGTCGTGGAAGTCCGGAAGTGTCAACCCAGGGACGAAGCGTCGCGTGCGGTGGTGCGAGTGAGTCGTAGACAACCAGAACAGATGTTGTGACGGTGTCAGAGTGTTAATTGGTATGATGTTGATGTTGAAGTGAATAGGGAGATGCAAGGGAGCAGGAAAATCTCCCCACGGGGATTACAGGAGATAGTCGGGGGTCCAGGGTAGGCAAGTACGACTGGGATGATGCAAAACAATCGGATGCGGGGACGGCAAGAACGCTCGTTCGTTCCGCCAACACCTGGCTGCACCTGCCTGCCACAACCGCCCGCTCCTGCCTCCTGGGCCAATTGGCGCGGCGCTCTTGCCGTTTAGGGGGCGCTGTCGCCGCAAGGACCAATAGGATTGGCTGAGTGTGTTTGTTGTGTGTCCGCACCTACCTAAGAGGTCGTATCTGCAGGGCTATGATTCCTTTGATACTACTGATACTACTGTACAGATACTTTTATACTATACATTACTCCACTGGTCTGCTGGGCTTGAGAGTCGATCAAACGCCGGAGTAGTGGATATGGATGGATGATGTCTAGTGTATTAGTCAGGTCCTTTCTGCGTCTGGCGTCTTCATGACGCTCTTCAAACCTCCTGTCCAGTCGTGTATTTAGACGCCTCTTCTATACCCTCAATCCCCGAGAACACGGCTCGGAGGGAAGGTCTTCTCAAATCGTCGCCATCACGAGACCTCTGTCCGTCGCCGGAGGATTGTAGCTAGGCAAGGAGGTGGATCCGTCGTTTTCCTAGAACCTAAGTCGGCTTGGCACTCGCATGTTACGCTATGTCTCCCCTACCCAAATTTACGTAAGACGGATATATTTTAGTATTTTATCGTATACTCGTCGCTATATAAGGTTTTAATATATATATACTATCGAATATTAGTTAATATACTTAGTGTTAAGTCTCCACATATTTTTTTTACCTATATACCCTCTACGAGGTTGAAAAAACCCGCTTAAAGCGTTTAATTTACTATAGACGCGTCTACTAAACCTCCTTCTTCTCCTCCTCCTCCTTATTAGTATAAATCTACTACTAAATTAATAGAGGTAGCTATGGTAAGGGTAATAGCAAAGAAGTAGGCTCGTAAACGTACCGCGGCGCCGAAAAATCTACGTGTTATCGACATTTCTACGCCTTCGAAGGCTATACCTTCTTCTCCTCCGTCCTCTACTTCTTCTTCTTCTACTTCTATTTCTTTATCTCCTCCTTCTAATTCTATTAATAGTGGTTAGAATAAGATTATAGAGGCTAAGGATAAGGATATAGAGGAGATATATAGAATATACGTATTCTAGAGATTACGCGTTAATAGGAAGAACGAGGCGGTAGATAAACTTATTACTATTCTATAATATACGTTTAATCGTAAGGTATATAAGGCTACTATTAATAAGGCGATTAGTATAAGACTTAGTACTAATAACTAGACCTTTAATACTCGCTAGATAGTATATAGTCTTAGTATAAGAAAGAAGTAGAGAAGGATACTTACTATTAACGACTAGTCGATCGTTAGCTAGAAAAGAGTCTATATAATTATAGACGAGATACACTTACTTACTAGTACTAAAGACGAGCCTATTATAGTTACCTTTAAGAATAGTATAAAGTATAAGTCGTGGGGTAAGAAACCTCTATTATCTTAGTAACCTTAACGTAGTTATTACCGCGACTCTTCTACGCTATCGCCGTGTATAGAGCTTCGAAGTTTACTAAATATAGATACTTAGTAACTAAGAGGACGTACTTAAGTTATATATAATAAGGCTTAGTAGAGGAAGGACGCTAGCCTAAAATAGATTAAGATAATTAGTTCGATTAAGTTAACCTACTACTATATAGACGCCGGTTATAGTAATGAATAAGGGCACTACTTTATTATCCTATCTCCGGCTAGACGTTTCTATTATAAGATTAAACGCGTGTTAATAGAGCTATAGGTACACGCTATTATTACTAGTACTCCTAGTACCTTAGTCGAGGATTCTCCTATTTCTATAATAAGATAACTCGTATCTAAACTCTATAAGAGAAAGTTAGTAAAGAAGCTAGGTAGAAATAAGTAGAATATTAATATTAACGCCCTCGTATATAAGTATTAAACTAAGAGAATAATAGTAGTAATAGAGGACTTCGATTATCGTAAGGAGGAAAAGGCTAGTAGAATTAAGGAATAGGCTAAGCGTTAAGCCGAGCGTCGTTAATTTAAAGAGTAAATAAGGTAGAGTTAGCTTTAATAGTTTAATCCTATATTCGGAACACGTGTACCTCTTTACCCGATAAATATTCTACCGCCCTATACGTTACCGTCGCCGACTCGTAAGGTTAATAGTTAATACCCTCGTGAGGTTAAGAGTTAACGTCCTCGTCTATTAATACTACTAGAGATAATAAATCCCGCTCTATATAGTAGTTCTACTTAGCTAGAACTTTACTAGGCTAACGTTATTTAACTAGTACTTAAGTAGTAGCTAGTAAAGGAGACTTATAGTAGGACGAAGGATAGAATTAGGTTACTCCGCGAATACGCCGTTAAAAACTATTATTAATATAGATAAGTTAAGGAGATTACTCGTCTTAGAACTACTTATTACAAGATAGTAAAGTTATATAGAGTTCTATTAAGCATAGTTATTAGGACGGGAACCACAATGGACCTATATAAACCATTCTAATCCATGCAGCCACGTAGTGGCCAGAGCTAGGTTGAGTTAGCTAAGTTAAGCAAGGTTACTATATAAGTAGACTATATAAACCAATTCCTACTTATTAGGAATTAACCTCGTATAAGAGTAAGATTACTCTATAAATACATTCCTATATCTCTCTATAAACTATTAGACTACTATCCTACGTCTTTACTCTTTATATTTTAATTCCTCTCTATATAGTACGACGGTAGCTTATAGAGATAGCTCCTACTACGCGCTATAATACCCGTGGTACTACCTTATATAAGAGACTCTCTCTAAATCTAAACGAAGAGAATAGTCTCTCTACGACCACCTCTACTAATAAGTATACCCTATAGGCTATCGTACTAATAACTAGTACGGTATTCTATATAACTATAGAAGATTACCTAGATAATAAGGAAGGACTCCATTATACTCTATCGCGGTCTAGTTTATACTATACTAGACCTATTCTTATTATAAGACTAGACCCTATTAACGTTAATAAATTAATTTATTAGAACTAACTAACGTTAACCACGCCTTATAATAATATATATACTAAGCTATACACGGAGAGATAGCGTTAGGCTTAGCTTAAGTAGTAACTTCGTAAACTTAATAAAGTATAAGGATAAACCGCTAGACTCGAAGCCGTACTACGCGCTTTAGTACTAGTAGTAACTAATCTATACTAATATAGACTAACTTAAGCCGAAATAGTCTAACTAAGTCTATTACTATTCTAGTTACCTCGGCCTAAGAAACTACCTTACTTTAACGGTAAAACTAGGAGGAGCTTTCACGAATAGGCTTATTAGTATAGCTAATTCTTCTACCTATTCACAAACGATAGTAATAAGATTAGGTTTATATAGAACTACCTAGACCTAACGCTATCTAAACGTTAGATAGTATATCGAATTAAATACCCTAAGGATACGTATAACTAGAACACGTTTACCGAATTCCTTCTTTAATACTTCGGCGATAGAGCCAAGTAATATAAATAGGCTTAGAGCT